AGATCAACCTTCTTAGCACTGTCCAATTTTCACACCACTTCTAACAGCGTCCAATTACCAGCCCTAAGACATTAAAAGACTATACTCAGTTTGGAATAAAAATAAGAATCTTAATATCTATTTGTGTAAGAAACAGATGACTTCACATCAACAAGGACTATTTGTACTACAAAGAGTTTTATACATTCCATTTGAAAAATGCAGTTGCTTTCCTATTCTGACGGCTAATGGCACTCAAAGTGAATCAGTCAATAAACCAGCAAGAATATTCTTCAGGTTTTAGCAGGATTAATCTAGTTATGTTAGCTAGAAAGACTTGTTAAAGAAAAAAAGCCCTAGTCTGAGTTTATTTCATCTAAAGTAAATGATGAATGCGACATAAAACCCTCCATGGAAGACCAAGTCTTGAGGAGAAAAATCATAAAATCACAGAATCGTTTAGGTTGGAAAAGACCTTTAAGACCACTGAGTCCAACCGTTACCTAGCACTGCCAAGTCCGCCACTAAACCATGTACCTAAGCACCATGCCTACACGTCTTTTAAATACCATAAGGGGTGGTGACTCAACCCCTTCCCTGGGCAGCCTGTTCCAGTGTTTGACAACTCTTTAGGTGAAGAAATTTTTCCTAACATAAAATCTAAACCTACCCTGGCACAACTTGAGGCCATTTCCTCTCATTCTATTGCTTGTCACTTAAGAGACTGACTCCCACCTTGCTGCAATTTTCAGGTAGTTACAGAGGGCAATAAGGGCTCCCCTCAGCCTCCTTTTCTCTAGGTTCAATAACCCCGGTTCCCTCAACCGCTCCTCACAGCACTTGTGATCTGGACCCTTCACCAGCGTTGTTGCCCTTCTCTGGACAAGTCTTACTTGTAGCAAGGGGCCCAAAACTGAACACAGTGTATCTTGGCCTAAATCTAACTGCAGACTATACTCATCTAAAATATGGTGCATTTAACTCTGAGAACCAGTGTTACATTTACCCTGTAGCAAGCAAAGTCTGACCACGAAAAAGTTAGGGTTTGAACTTAGGGAGCAGAACATGTTCAGTATGAACAACAATATTTTTAGCTTTTAGATTAAGTAGCTGTCAGTTTTGAATAAGTCAAGTGTTATCAGAAATTAAGCTTATGACACTTCTCAGATGTGGGATGTCAAGACTGTATCACTTTCAATCACCAGATAGCTGATTTCTTCCCATTTGCCGCTGCCAGACAAGATGAGAGTCAACCAGTAGTGATGGCAGCTGTGCTTCTGGGAATGATACTGAGAGGATTATTAACTACATCAGTGTTCTTCTGGGACACTGACAGACACAGAGATTTACTTTACAGTTAGCTGAAAGTTAATAAGTGTTTGACTCAGAAGGTCTTTCAGTATCATAAAAGATTAGAGCCCAACTCCTCAGTTGCTGTAAGTGGCTGACATGCTGTTTGGTATGCCAGCAGGTGAGACTCTAGCCCTATTTATCTAAAGAAATAAAAGGCAATTAAAAAAAATACATCTTAAAATATATAATCAGTATTTTGTATCTAACTAGAATGTATAACTTCTAACTAAAAATATTCATTTTACTTCAACCTGTTAAAAATAGTTATTTAATTAAAAGCTGGAGGCAATCAGAAATACATTCTCTTAAAGTGATTTGAAGGGTGAAAAAAGCCCTTCAGCTAAGGACATGCTTGCAAACTTTATTTTTGGAAGTTCTGTTCCTATAGTTATGTTCTATCTCACAGTAAATTCAAAGGCAAAAGATCTTATTTTTTCACTCTTTTCCGGTGTTGAACACTTTAGTAGATATGATGAATGCTGTTGTAATTTCGTTCTTTCTTTTTTGGAGAAGTGGGGTTTGCGTGGGAGTCTTTGTCTTAGAAGAGTTCTGTGCATAAAGTTATGCTGCTGGTAACATATAATACAATAAATAAGAGTCCTCCTTAGTTCTTTCAAATTTATGGATTTGGATTCTCAATCTTTTAATAATTAGACACCGCAGCACTTACATTAACAAATTCTGTTTTCAAGATACACCATCAGGAAAAAAAATGCATCTCAGGCTATCAGAGTGACTCAGCAAGGTGACTCATGAAAATAATTTAACATGCTGAAGGAATTACCACTTATTAAACCAGACTGTCACGAGTTTATAAAATGACATCTCCAGCAATTCAACAGCGAACACAACTCACATTTCATCTTTGTGTTCCAAGTGACCTGAAATGTTGCATGCTTAGTGGAGTATCTTTTATTTAGGTATACTGAAACACATGCAATAAACTGCAGAATTTTGGAACTTTTTGATAAATATGATAAAAATACAGTTTGGTATCAAATGCTTGTGCGAAAGGCTTTATATAGGTCATCCTCGGTGCTCTGAAGAAGATTAAGGTCTCTGTTCTTCAGAACATTAACCTTGCTTCTGTGAACACTTGCACTAACTGCGAGTCAGTGGAAGTTCTTCTAGTAACTCCAGTGGGTGTTAAATCAGTATCTTCTTCCAGGTTATTTCTCTTTTTCTCAATGTATTAAAATTCTGCAACTTAGTCTAGTTCTGTTCTGTTCAGTCTCAAAGGGAAGAGAAGAGATTGCATTATCCCAGAATAGCCTACAGCTGCAGGTAGGACATACTGTGGGGAATTCCGTAGAGGGATGCAAAATTTATAGAAATATTGCGTGGGATTTACAGTTCATTTACTTAGCTTCATGGTGTAACATTCTGCTTCCTTTGAAAAGTAATTCCACTAGTTTCCTTTGCTATTGGAAGACAAAAAAGAGTAGCAACAGAAAAATCTGATGAAACCAGTTTTCAATGTTTCCTCATTCCATCAGAATTTGATGTTATTTGCTTGTCAAGTTTAAAATTTATTATCACTAAAAAAGCATTACAGTATATTAACACTGTATTTCATTATATCTGAAATTAAATTCAACAACATATCCTCAGAGGGAATAATCTTAAAAATAGAACGGAATTTTTATGTGAAAGTATAAATAAATTATAGGTAAGGCAAATACAAAACTTTAGTCTGTTATCCTTCCCCTACATATATCAAGATTTCATGTATGTGCATGCATGTATAGACACAAATATATACATACATGACATGCTGTACAATAACCTAGCTTCAGTGAAAAGTGCAGTAACATAAACTATAGCACTATGCAGCAATTGAACACGTATTTATCTTTAAAATTCTAAATCGGTCCCATTGCTCTTTTGGTTTGTTTGAAGGTTGTTTACAGAAGCTTAAATACATTTTAAGGCTTGGTGAATCAAGGAGATATACTTAGCAACAGGTAGAAAAAAATACTGGTATAATGGGCTTCCCTGCCTTCTTCATATGGTTACATACCTTATTTTATATTTTTATAATAAAAACATAAACGTATTTGATATGAATCCCTCTTAATATAAATAAAAATATTTTGAGCTATTCTGAAACTTGGCATATAGCATTTCTGTATCAGAATCTAACTGGAAATATCAAATCAGCACTTTTAGCTATTTTTCAGGGAGAAAAAAAGAAGGCATATCTAATCAAGTTTTTAATATTTTCCAAAACAAATATAATCATGATTTTTTAACAAATATTTATCTGATATTTTCAAATCCTGACTTTAAATTCTCGCTAGTACGATACTCACTCCTCAGTTATTATTACATGCTTGAATTTACACACAATGAGTTGGTTTATTAGTACCCATAGGATGACAGTGAGTGCCCATCATTAAGCCTGTATGTAAGGGTCTACAGGACTGGGGCTTTAAATTGCATCTCCTTAGAGCAGAAATCCCATTTTATTTTGGTTTAGGTTATATTTAGTGGGGATGTTATATAAAACTGGGGATGAACAGTGAGGCAGCAAACTTTGCTCAGATATGTTCTTGGTAAAAAGCTGATTGTGAAGAACCACAGATACAGAATGACTGGCCAAAAAAAATCAGAGATTAAATTCAGTGCAGATATATGTGCAGTGATGCACATGGAAAAAAGAAATCTAATTTCACAAATAGAACAGAGGTTCTGAGCTTCCTGTTACTATTCAAGGAGAAGTGGTGGGTTATGATGCATCTGAATAGACTATTAGGAACCTCTGTGAATGAATGGAGAAAAAACCAGAAACGAGTATTACTATTACAAAAACAACACAATTTTATATGAAACCATTTCTCTGCAAGAAATGAAGCACGGAAAATGTTTGTAATGAAGATTGAAAAAGAAATGGCTAAGGGTATTTTCTGGAAATTTCTACAGAATAACAAATGCCACCTAGAAAGTGAGTAGGGAATGATTGCTTACTACCTCTCCTGATAATTGAGATGTTGTAATGCAGCTAGCCAAAAGCAAGTTCAAAGTCAACAGTGGTACTTCCCGCAACAGACTGAAACCATTTAACAGAGGACATTCAGGACGTTGAAATTTTTCACGAATCCGAAGCCCTAGCTGTAAAATGCATCAAGCCATTAAATTCGGGACAGTGCAGATATGTGTGGCTCAGGAGGTACCTATATCACCAGTTTCTGGCTGCTTGGAGAGTCCCCGGGGGAACTGTCACGCCGATCTTGCCCTGTCCCCATGCTGCTCTCCACACCCCTGCCAGCAGGCACTCGGGCCTGGGTGCTGCTCCAGCTTAGCACGCTCTTACATGCCTACCGTATTGATCACCATGCAGATGCACATGTCAGCAGTTCAAGGTTAGACAACACATTTCTTGATCTCAGCTCCAGAACTTTTTATATCAGTATCTCTCCTCTAAAACTAACATACTTTGCAATTTTTCCTTAAGGATTGCTAACATCTCACTCTGAAATGCACTAATAACTCACTTAAGTTGCTATAGTTGCTGTGGGAGGGCTAATGGAGCCGCTGAGGGAGAGCGCGCACAGCCTGAGGCGGTCGAGACGCCCTCAGGAGACCAACGGCGGCGCGCGCGCCCGTGACCATCAGGCGGCACCGCGCGCATGCGCGCCCCCGGCCCCGGCGCGGCTGCGCGGGGCGGGGCGGGCGGAAGCCGGAGCCGGGAGAGCGCAGAGGGAGGAGGGGACGAGCGCCGGCCGCCGCCTCGCACCCCCAGCGCCCCCCCCCCGCCGCCGCCCGGCCGCGGCCGGAGCGCCCCGCCGCCATGTCCAACATGGAGAGTATCCTCGGGGCGCGGGGCTGGGCCGTGCGCCCCCGCCGTGAGCTCGGCGCTGTGGGCGGAGGGGGGGGGGGGGGGGGGGCGGTGCGGAGCCCCCTCGGCCGTCGGTGCGGCCGCTCCCGGTCACTGTTGGCGTCTCGGGGCTGGCGGCGGTCCCTTGCGGGGGCCCGGCGGGTGTCGGCTCTCGCGGGGTGGGGGCCGCGGCCTGGGCCGAGCTGAGCCGAGAGCCGGCGCTTCCGGGGCCGGTGCCTGCTCGGGGGCGGCGGGCGAGGTTTCTCCACCCGGGGAGCAAGCCCCCGGGACGCCCCACGGTGCGAGTTCTTTCCCTTATCGCGGCGGTGTCTGGGGGAGCAGGGCGGCCCAGTTGGGGAACAGGGACCTCGCTTCAGAGGGCCTCCTCCAGGAGGAGGAGAAGAGTGTGAGTGACGGGAGCAGCGCTTTGTGAATTTCGGGTTTGCCTTCCCTGCATGCACGGAGAAGGGAATGGGAAGTTGAGTTTTTCCTTCCAAGCCGAGATCAGCTAACCTTAGGTGGGGAGCGAGGAGGGGGAAGGCGGTGTCACCTCTCCCAGGGCTGTGGTGCACTGAGGGGCAGCCCAGTCTCTGTGGTAGAAAAAGCAATTTACAGTGTAGAGAACTGCAAAATGTGTACGAGGGACATCTGACATGCTGTACATCTAGTGCTGGGTATAGACTGGAAGGATGTCAGCAAGGCTAACACATCAGCTGTCCCCCCAGTGACCACGATCAGCTGAACAAAGCTGTCTGTGTTTCCTGGTGTTGAAGTTATACATGGGGGGGGAACTGTTATGAACAAATTTAAACTTTCTTGCTGTATAAAACTATCCACACACAGGGGCAAAAACCCTTAAAGATTACAGAGGTCTCAATGTGGCTGAAATGTGCTGGCAGTGCTCAGCATTGTCAGTTGTTTTAGGGACTGATGGGAGTGCTGGAGCAGGGGACTGTGAGTCACAGTTAATGGTGGAAGTTCAGTTTCACTTGGGTTATGGCACACAGAGAAAGACCTTTCGAGGGAGGAGCGAGAATGTGCTCGTCATGGGGTGGAAATGCTATGGAGGTGGCAGCGTGAGCTATTTTAATGTCAGAAGTAAATGCCCCAAGTGAGTAACTGAGGAAATTATTTCAAAATAAACTGCTCTGAAATGCTGTTTCAGTGCAATCAGTGTAAATAGGTGATGTCATGTTTTACCTGATTGTTCTGGTCTCTGACCTGAAGTATACTTGAATGAACAGCGTAAAAGTATTTTCCTGTTTGGTAAATTACCTGGTCTGTGGCTCAATGCAATATACTTATTGCTGCCGAAAGGGATGGTGACCTACGTTTTAAAGCAAAGAAATAAAAATACAAGCAGCAATTTTAGTTAATCCATTTATCTTAATGGATATCCTAGGTATATGGGTACAGCAGTTACCTTTTTGTAGCCTTCTTGTGAAGTTTGTGGCATAGGACAACAAATATATCAACAGACTTCCTAATGCCTTCAGGTTGCTGTCAAAACTCTAAGATGCATGGCTGGACTTTAAAGGAAAAAAGCAATTCTGGAATAATTTACATACTTGAAATATTAAAGAAACCTCAAGTACCTCATAATGTTCAGCTTTATGTGCTTCCACTTAACTGTTAAGTGTCTTAGTACTTGCTGCATCTTCCTCTTGGGATATCAAAAGGTGGCATGAAAGAACCCTATAAAGCTTTGTATTTCCTTTTTGTCTGAGACTGATATTACTTGGAAGCTTTCATCAACAGAACTTTAAGAATATAGGGTTTTAATTGTGATTTTTATAGCACATACTTTATTCTCTCGGTAACAGTTTAATGCAGACATTCTAAGTCACTATGAAGGCTTGTTCTGCTGTATTTTTAGAGCTTTCAGCTTCAGCAGAACTTGAACTTCTTAGAGAGAAAAGTTTCTCTTGCTGACTTAAGTATTCTTTCCCCAAAAGTCATATGATGGAGCTGTCAGTGACCCCAGAATCACTCCCCTAACCCAGGGCTGGGAGGCTGCTCTGTAAAGGAGCTGCATGAGCAATTTAAACCTGAGATCATGCTGTGGATTGAAGGGGCAGCCTTGCCTCCTGGTTTGTACCTGGGCATGGTCAGCCAAGCCAGTTTGCTACTACACTGTTAATTTGTCTCGTTGTTCTTTGGTGGCTTCTTTTTGGATGGGGAGGTTCCAGACAGCCAGTAAACTGCTCTTTCATTTCAGTGAGAGTTGAGGACTCTGGGTGTGTGAGTGAAAGTAGCTGCCAGAGTAGGACTTTCAGTTCTTCTTGGGGGATGTTTGGTTTGTTGTATTTATCAGTCTGAAATAGGCTTGATGATACATGGAGTCAGTTTGGGATTTAAACATACTTTTTTATGGCCTTACATTTTAGAACCCAGATGATAAGTGACAGATTGGTAGGTCTTATTGCATGAATTTCAAGGGCTGGCTTAATTAACGTTTTCCATATTTTAATATCACTAATGGGGAAACAGTATACACTAGTTTTGGTAGCACTTCAAACAGGAGAGCAAAATACTACAGTGAAAGGATTGATCCAATGCTTGAACCCTTAACTTGCGCTGCAGAACACCTGTTTAATTTGAAGTTTGCTGCGAAGGAACTCAATAGGAACTCAAAAAAATGCGACAAAGAAGAAAAGGCTGAGAAAGCTAAAATTAAGAAGGTAAGCAGCAAGTCTGAAACAAGCTCTTTAGATCTATTGTTTACATATTATAATGGGAATATATCTGGTGTTTTTACCATTTTCCTGGCATGCATGCTAATAATACTATAGTAGATGCTCGTGATTTAAAATATGTGACTAAATCTTTCCTGACTTACTAATAAACATGAGGATACATTCTTGTGTATCCTTTTGTATAGCTTGTGGCATTTGCTTCCCGAGAAGACTGTCTCATATGTATTTCATTACAGGCTGTTCTATAAGTTAAAAATATTTAATCTTAATGTTTATCATCTTGTGTTAAAAGGGCTTATCAAGAGGAACTTTAAAATAGTTTGAATATATTTTTGTCCATGGGATACAGTCATACCAACTATATCTGTCTTTGGGTCCTGATAGTGAAAACGGTTTTAGAAATGAGAAAATTATGTTCTTGTAACTCTGTAAAACCTCCTACATGATGTGCATGCTAGAAACCTTTCTTAGAAAGAAGTTAGGTGTTCCCAATCTAGAAAAGTTTGAAAACTATTGGGGGGAGGAGGGAAGGGTTTATTTTATCTTTTAATAGAAAAGATTTTGTGGTGAATTGATGCTTATTTCAAAAATAAAATAGGCTATTCAGAAATGATGTTTATAAGAGCAGGGCAAGTTAAAATGCTTTTTATTTTTTTTCAACAGGCAATTCAGAAGGGTAACATGGAAGTTGCACGAATACATGCAGAAAATGCAATCCGCCAGAAGAATCAAGCCATCAATTTCTTGCGCATGAGTGCCAGGGTAGATGCTGTAGCAGCAAGAGTTCAGACTGCCGTGACAATGGGCAAGGTAAATCTGTTTTTGCAAATCTGATGCAAGGATGAAACTTCTGGTCGTCTTGAAAGTGACTTAATTCTGTCTGTAATGAGGTGAAAAGTTTCAGTTTTGGTTTCAGATGTAGTCAATAGTAAATCAGGTACTAGAATCCCCTGGCAGCTGGTCTTTACTATGTTTTGTAGCTTGTAACTTCTGTTAGCTGTTATTACTCATGCTCCATGTGTTTTGCAGGTTACGCTGTTAAGATTATTTTGCAAAGATAGTGCTCCCCTTTCAAAGACTTAAAGTCATGACTCAGGACTTGTGATTTGAGAAATCTTTTTTAGCTCAGATAGTTTTTTAACATCCGCTATTGATCTTCAGCCAGAGAGTTTATTCTGCCATGTAATCCATATATCAAATATATCCCTTAACTTTTGATAGGTCTCAAGACCCACAAAAGGTAATGCCGTATACACCTCAGATTGTAGTGAATTTCAGCTCAGAATGCATATTTCAAGTGGGTGAGTTAATTTATAGAATTCAAAATGGTAGGAGCTGTAAAAAAAAAAAAGGTGGCATTCTAGATGGCAATATGTGTGCCCTACTATTTGACACTGTAGAAACTCTGTGGATAGTGTTAAGAGAGCTTGGTAAGAAACTGCTTGTTTTCTTTGTAATTAATGGTTCCTTTTATCTTATTTCAGGTAACAAAGTCGATGGCAGGGGTAGTTAAGTCTATGGATGCCACTCTGAAGAGCATGAACCTGGAAAAGGTAAATAGGCTTACTTTTCTTAGAGCTGCACATCAAAAGCAGAAAGGACAATGGGAAATTAAAAAGGGAAATTCCAGTCAAGAGAAAAGGTTTTGCGGTGAGGTTGATAGATCCTGTAACAGGTTGCCCAGTGTGGTTGTAAAGTCTTCGTAAATGAAGATGCTCAGAACTTGACTGCACAGTGCCCTGACCAACCTGCTTGAACCGCACTTAGGTCAACTTCAGAGTTGATGCTGGGAGGGAAGGGGGACAAGCTTTTGATCTCCAGAAGCTGCTTGCTCTTGTAGTGTGATTCTATTTTTGCCAGTTAAGAGGTATTTCTCTTCCTTTATCTGCAGATCATTGATTTGATTTGTATTTTTTATAGATATCTGCTCTAATGGATAAATTTGAACATCAGTTTGAAACACTAGACGTTCAGACACAACAGATGGAAGACACAATGAGCAACACTACTACGCTAACAACACCACAAGTAAGAATAGTACATTTTTTTTAAGAAAGGTGATCTTTAATTATGTGTCTAAACTGTATGGAAACGTCTGATTCTCTTCCTGCCCGCTTTGAGACATAGAGCAACTGGAGCCTTTTCACTTACGCTTTGTGCTTCTTTGTGATGAAGAGACTTTCAAATTAGAATCATAAGTACAGAGTTTCACATATATGTATTTTTGCCTATTTCATACTTATAGCAGGTTTTATTTTATATTATATCTTGAAAACTTTAATCCTCCTACTGCTTAAGCAGCATTTTGATGAGTTCCTAATGAACTTTTGAACCTGAAGACACTGCAGCATTAATTATCAAAGTGGAATATGCTGTGAGAAAATCAATAGTTCTAACTCACTGATATTAACAAAACTACAATACTCACCACCAAATTAGTAGTAGTATGTGCAATGGAAAGTTAGTTAATTACCTACTTTTCAATTTATGGACATGTGTTTACTACAATAAATCTTTAAACAATGCTTGACATAATTAAGAATTCCTAGCCACTATCCCGATGTGCTATTCCACAAGGAGCTAAACGTGCTATTCCAACAGAAAACTTGTCAGAGAGAAATTTACTGGAGGTAGTGCTTTGTAAATAAAATAAACAAACCCAAACCCAAATCCAATAAATCAAATCTATTGGAGATGGGCTTTTTTCCATGTTGTGCAAAGCAGTGTTGTAGTAGCTAATAATCAACGTTTGAAATACTCAATTATATGTTTGGGGCTTTTTACAGCTAAGTTTAATTCTTTAGAAGCGCTATTTCAGCAGCTAGAGTTCAATTAATGGGATTTTAACAGGCTGATCACCTCTGCTCATTATTTTTGAGTTCATACAGGGCCCTCTGGTGGTTAAGCACAAAAATGTTCTGTAAAAGTTAACTGGTTAAAATAATTTCTGTTCTCTTGAGATTTAACGGAAGAGGTTGTCATAAACTACAGTATGCAACAATTGATTTTGTTTTCTTTACTCTAGAACCAAGTAGATATGCTTCTACAGGAAATGGCAGATGAAGCAGGGTAGGTAAAATTTTGAGTGACTGTTTCTTGAATAAATAACCAGCCTTTCTGGTTAACTTGAAGGTCAGATACCCTTGTTTTGTCTGTCTCTTGGAAGCAAAGAATCATCACCATTTTCCTTTTACCCCTGGACATCATTCTTGTAATAGTTTAGTTGCCAGTATTTCATTCTGTTTTTACTCAAAGGTACTGTGAATGTCAGGATGCAAGGGTGATCATACAAAAGCCTAAAATCATGCCAGGATAGCATTTTATTATTTAGTTGTATTGGCTTTAGCAATTCTTGCCGTGTTTCTCCACACTTTTCCTCTTTTTTTTCTCCACTTACCATGTTAAAACTTCCTGTAGTTCTGCTCTGATAAACTAGACATTGCAGAACAGTTCATCATAACATATTTAAGCCTTTGGGGATCTACTGAAATATTTCAGAGAATTTTGCCTTCTTAGTGATGCATAAGTTGGAAGTGCTGTTCCATTAGCCTGAGGATAAATACTTTTGACAAAAATTTTTTTTTTTAGTAAAACACTTTTTTTAATGAGTGAGCTTTTCATCATTCATACATATGCCCTGTCTGATATACCTCTGTTAAACAGCAATCTTGCTCAGTCCTGATTAAGCAGAATTAATTTAGCTATTGCTAGTTATAATATATGACAAGTATATATAGTTGTTGTCTTGGTAATGAGTCACATTTACCAGTCAAGTTGTCTAACTAGCTGGAGTACAGCATTCATGGGATGCTGGTGGCCTAGTGCTTTCTCAGGATTCCTCTGCTTGTCAGTTATTGTGCTTCTTCCTTTAGCTATGTATGCCTGACTTGGGTTTTTTGTTTGTTTTGTTTTCTCCTATTAGTCTTGATCTGAACATGGAACTACCTCAAGGACAGACAGGTTCTGTTGGTACAAGCGTTGCCTCAGCAGAACAGGTAAACATTAGATTCAGTTGAAATCAGTGTTTTCTAGAGAAATGGGGTATGCAAATTAATGCTTCACTTGGTCAAAACAGGCTTGCTAAATTATAATTAGATTTTAGGTGTCCAAAGAATATAATATGTAGTTAAAACAGTCTTGCAATCAAAATAATTTTAACAATACATTTGTTAACTTAGTATATCCAGAAAGTTTAGATGTTTCAGGTGTATTTTTGCGTGGTTATTTCACAGAGTTCCAAAAAATTGACTTTTCTACCTACTCCGAATGTAATGAGTCCAGCCATTCCCCATAGCATACATGAGGCCTTTGTTTTTTTTTTTTTTCCCCTTTAATATGTGAAAGGTCTTACAGGACTAGTGCAAAGGATTCCACATTTGCTCTAGATGCACAGCTTAGAATTTCTTGTGCGTGGGCAAATCCTCATGTCAAGGTTGTGCAGATCTTTTGGTGAGTTGTTTTTCCCATTCTAGGGGAATATATCTGAGGGAATGGAAAGAGAACAGTTTGTTTCTGTCATCCTGTCTTTGTGGATAAGGCTTTAGTGAGCCTCATTTTTACTGACCAATCTTTGGAAAGCCCCAAGTATCCCACGTTCTTTGAAAAGCTCGGTTTCACCTTGTACCAAGCTCCCTAAACCAGTTAGACCTACTTCTATCTGGCTGCATCAGTTCAGTGAGATACCAGCCTTGGTCAGTCAAGGCTGCATCCAAATAAAGATGCAGTTCTGTAAGAGCCAATTTGCACTTGCAAAGATGATACATAAAAAAACCAACTCCAAACCAACCTTATCTCTACTTTCTGTGTTTGTATCCACTGCTGGAGATAAGATAGCTGTATGGACCTCTGGTCTCACCAGGTACAGCCATTCTTGATGTCTCAAGCAAATCTTGTTAAGACTATTAGATGGGATAATTTCATATCATCTGGACATGAAATTGCTTGACCATTGCAGAGCATTGCAAAAATTAATTTTCATATTACTGATAGCTGGTTTATTTGTGTTTTACAATTCTGCAGGATGAGCTGTCACAGAGACTGGCCCGCCTACGTGATCAAGTTTAAGTTCATCTGAGCTGTGGTTCTTTGTACATGCTTTCAAAATACCCTTTCTGTAACTAACCCTTCACTACACTCGAAAGGTGTATACAGTATGGCTTAAGTGTTTGAATATTTCTAAAATAGGGTTCTTCACTCCTAGCTTGCTATTCTTTCTAAAATACATTAAGTAACCCAAAAATATCAGCTCTCTAATGTCCTTTTCTGTACATTTTGAAGTTGATATATTTTTTGCAAGCTTTTTTCACAAAATCAAGTTGATATTCTAAGTCAGCTAGTAATGTTGGTACCTTTTAGCTAGAAGAAAAGCAGAGTGTCATTGATACATATTTTAAATTATGAAGTGATTTTTTTAAAATTATGAGAACTGTTTATGGTTGGAGAACTGAAGTATTCAGTTCAGATGATTGTTGTAGATAACTTTCTTACACAGCCAAACTCATGGAACACGCAAAGGTGGACAGCGTGAACTTCATGGAAAATAGGCTTGTTAAAACAAGTAAGTGGACTTCAGTCTGAGTTCTTTAGTCTTTTAGAGCTAGGGTAATTGTGCTGAAATTAGTGGTTTAGTTCAAAAATGAGTTACCAAAAGCTATTTTCATATAATTGGGAGCATGTATGATGTCATCACTTCAGTACAGGAGGAATAAAATATATTTTTCAACTGTCAGTTCTGTTGAATGTTGGAGCTTGTTCATTGTTTAGTGTCAGGTGCTGAATCTTCTCCATTTTGCTTTCTTCTCAGTGTCCTGGGGTGCAGCCAGTTATGGCACTCACCCCTCTGTTCTACCAACATAACATCTAGTTTCTGTTAATAGGGAGCTCGTGCTATCCATTTTTATAGACTCAAGCTGAGAAGCCTTGTATGAAGTAACTGAATCATGCTTTTCTCCATTCCTTCTTGCTCTGTCTTGGCTTTTAATCTAGTCACTTTTTTAATGTAACGACAAGTCTTGTGATCATATTCCACACTTAAGTGTTCTTCCATATATGAAAAATACAAGAGTGCTCTCCCTCAGGTTCAGATCTTCACGCTCCTCTCTTCATGAGTCGAAGTCCCAGCCCTGTCTTCTGTAACTGGAGTACTCCCTTAGATCAGCTTTTCCTCCTCTGCACCTCACAGCAGGTGCGAAGTGGATGAGTAGCGCAGGCCAGCTCAGTCAGATGGAGTTATGTTGGATTAAGAGCAACCTTTATTTATTAAGATATAATGTTGCTCTCAGTAGACAGAATAACATGATTTCTAATATTGCAGTTGTATGGGGAAGCTAGTTTGTTTTAGTGATCCGTTTCTATTCCTGCACAGTAAGAGGATCTGCTGGCTGCTTTCAGTAGCTTCAAACTCTTGCTGCAGTTGTGAAGTAAAGGAATGGTTGTAGAAGTTTGTAGCTGACACTACTTGTGTTGTGCTGTCATAAACAGTGATGTTAAAATTCTGATTTTGGGGCTCAGTTTTTTGTTTTCTCTTTGTAGGAGCGAGAGAAGGTGCAAAGCACTAGACTTGGAATTAGTTCTTAATTTGCTGGTGTTCAGGGTCACATGGGTTTTCCAGTGTTGGAGAAATATTTAAGAAAAAAAAATACTTCGCTTTTTTAGTCAAGCAGGTTTTTTTCAGTGAAAATGTGTGAAAATGATGAAACATTTCAGAGAAATTTCAAACTGTATTTTGAATGTGTTACAGAAATCACTTTGAAGGCTTAGCAGGACGTTACATATTGAAGTATTCAAGGCTACTGTAAAAATAAGATAAGGAAAATAAGGTAGACAAAACAACCAAAAACGTTGTGGAATTGTGTGTCTCTCACTGGCAGCTTAAGCTAAAACAATTTGTTTAAAATATGATCTTTTCAGTTGTTTACATTGATTTTCAATGCAGCTTTCTTTCAAATACCTTGAATGTCCCTCCTGTAAATAGGAGAAAATGGAAGATGTTTAAAAACTGTGTACTCACAGCTGTGTCTTGGTACAGTCCTTTCAAATGATTAATAAAACATCTTAGAAAAGGGGCTATATACTACCTTTTTTTTCCCTAGCTCCTTCGGAACAATATAACAAAACAAAAACATAATGGTATATCTATGCAACCAGGTTACCCACAACTGTGGTAACTGCTTGTGTGTGTGCCTTTGCCTTGCTGAACTTACTTCATTTTTTTGATATTCAGTTACTTCATATCACAATAGGATTGAAACCTTACTGTTGTGTAATAAATCCACATTTGAGTTTATTTTGTGGCTGCTTGTTGATGGCTCTGTACCATAAAGTAGTGAGATTGTCAGTTTTTGATATTAGACAACTTCAGCTAGCTTGTCTGACTTATTTTAATGTTAAAGATTATGCTGCTTTTACAATGTTCCTGGCCATTCTTCAGCTATTTGGAGGGGTAGACAACAATTCCACGATCCTGTGTATTTGATTTTCTGAGTATGAAGTCTTGCCATGAGCCTTGGGGCTTTGGAGGAATTTAAAAGTAAAGGGAGATGAGACTGATTAGATTGCTGTGAAGTAAATGTTGAATAAGCTTATCTTGGTGGCTATACACAGCCTGTTATATAGTTACAATCTTATACCAGGCTTCCTAACTCCAGTACCAGAATAGATTTCCACTATCATTTTTTTAACAAGTAAACATAAAAGCTTGATTGACATAATTAATGTTACCTCTGTGGGACCATGATGTAAAAAGGTAAGCAGGCTCAGCTGACTTGGGTGGAAATACGTGTTAGAAACAATGAATTTTTGCCCTTCTGACTTTACTCTGAGAATTGCTGTGTATTTCAGTGAGGCCAGGATTTTGTACTGGCTGCTTCTGTATATAGATCTCCTGCCCTCTCCTGGGGAAAATGGTTTCTCGCTAGAAGCACTCGTGTATGAGAGCTGGTGTTCAGAAAGTTTTAACAGTTACATTTTTAATGTATATATTTTTCTCAAGTCTTGTGGAAATGCTTGAAACTGAAAGTTACTCTTAGAGCAATATTTGAGTTTCATATCCTTCCTCCATTCACGTTCTCCTCAAAACATTTTCTCTTTCCTGAACAACTCTGGCTTCTCACTCCTACATTGCTAGTGTTTCTTGTAAGTTGACTGTATGTGTTTGCAGAAGTTAATTTCAATAAATGGTATGTGCTTTTATGTAACCTTATTACCAGATAATATTTCAATATTTATGCTTATCAGCAGGCACATCTACAGTGAAACATTGCTTGAAATGTTGCAAGATGGTATTGCTCTACATTTTTTTTCCTTGGTTACTAAAACTGGTAGTGTATGGTAGCATTAGACTTCATTCATTTGAATTCCAAAACTGAAAGCCATGAAAAGCCTCAGATGAAAGGAGAGGGAAGGGAAGGAAGAACAAGAACTTTAACTTTCTTGATTGCAATGGGATAAAATGATCAAGTTGCCTTTATGGAGATCCTCAGAGCCAAAAAATAGTGAAATTTTGTTAGTATAATCAGCAGTTGTGTACAGAAATAAATTTTGAAGCTGGTGACATGTATAGAGAAGAGAATAATTTTTGTAGCTCTGGTAGAGTTCATTTTGAAAACTGCTTTACTTGTATGGGACAATTTGTAAATGTAACTGCAAGTGGTAAATAAAATTGTACAGACGCTTATTTCAGACGTTTTCCTAGGTTATATGGCTGTTTGCTGGTGGGGCTTAGTACAAGCAGATGTCATGATGCCATCGATATTTTCCTGTGAGAAGCTAATCAGAACATTAAATCTTTATGAGACAAATTGAGAAAAACATAAAGTGGATACTCTTGAAAAAGATTTGGGACAACAATTTAGAGAGAGATTAAGTATAACAACGTAAAACACAATTTTGAATTTGTATGTTTGTTTTTTTTCCTAATGCTTAGTGTGGTATGGAGTGTATCCCTTGTGCTTAAACATCTATAAGGTTTTCTGCCCTTACCATATATAACAAGGGGTTATGTGGAAAACTGTCAGGAGATGGTGTGGTTTTGACTTTGTTCTTCCCAGAACTGAAAATATTTCATTTTTATTTTTCTCTTCCATTGTTGTTTGGGAACCAGCAGAGGGAGCCTCAAGCTTTGTTTTTGCATAGGTCCTACATAAATCATTATTTTTCTGAATTCTTAAAACAAAGAGGACTTTGCAGAGTTCTCACTAGCTGCTTTAAGGAACTGTGTCTCCTGTGGAACTTTTGTTTCTGGGCAGTATCAAATCTCAGTAGGACGTGCCTGTATTGGGTCTTTGCCTAAAAGCTGCTCTGTTGCAGAAAATACAATTTGGAAACATGTTGCACAGGGCCACCAGCTACGCTGTGCCAACACCTAGCCATATTCGCTAAATGCACTTCAAAACATTCTTTGCTGTCTTCAGGCATTAATTTGGGACTTAGATCTACTGTTAGGAGTGTGGTAGTGAGTAACTTTGTGCTTAAAAATTGTTTCAAATTGTTTAGTTAAGTCCTTTTCGGTTTCTTTAGTTGTTGTGTTTCTTGTTTTCTCCTGTGAGAAGGAAACACACACTTTGTACTGATGGAAAATGTATTTTAATGGAAAATTTCATTTTCTTACTGAAAGTGTTGCCTATGTTGAGATTTGATTTGGTGAAATATTTACCTTGGTTTCAGGATTCTCTCTGCAGTACACTGCATTTTTTGGCTTTAGCATTTGCATTTGTCTATTGCACAGGCCTGGTTTGAACTAACGGCAGCATACTGCTCAGTACTTTCTTTCTTGTCAACCAGTATTTTTTCAATGAAATCCCAAGGAGGGTCAGTGGCCTTACTTGTATCGGAAGCAGCTCTCTTCATTGCCATTCAAATAAAGGAAAAGACCGATGCGTACAATCTGTAACTAATTTCAAGTGCCAATTGAGCCTTTTTAACTTGGAAGAAGATGCGGTGAGTGAGCGTTACAGGCTCTCGCTTGACCTTTACTACTCTTTATTAAGGAAGTCATGCTGAATCAGCTGTGATACACAGTTCAAGATAGAATATCTTGATAGAGAAGCGTAGGATCCCAGCTCTTTGGAAAGCTTTCCAATGTCTTCCAATGGTGCTGGCTGCTGTGAGACGCAGCCAAAAGCAGACCATCTTGCAGCAGACAGGCTGCTCTCAAGCTCTTACCTAGGCAAGGGTGATTTCAGAGGATAAAAGTACTTAAGTATCACATGCTTCCAAACTAAAAGATGTCTTACTGTTGTGATGACCTGTACATATGGCTTAGGATATTCTAAATTTGTTAACTCCAAGTGAAGCAGTCTTTTTGTGAAAGTCTTAAGCAATAAGTGTTATGTACCAATTAATATGTGTATCTGACAAGATAATAATTTAATTTCCTTACTATCTGATTCATAATTCTTTATTACAATCAATTTCTGTCAAAATGAGCTGTCAAGGAGAGTAAAACATTTTTAAACTTATTTTAAAGACAGTCAATACTTTTTTATTTAATTTTTAAAGAATTCTTTCCTTTCTCAAATATTAGTTTAACATAATCCTGGAGTTTCTATACAAGGTATTTAACTTTGTTCTTATTGCAGTCAGGACATTGTTTCTCTTGCTGCAAAACAGGTTAATATTGGAACCTTTAATCTCTGTTTTTGTTGCTGGTGATTTTTCAGTTCCAAATACCAGTGTGAAACCCCAACATTTGACTTGAAATGCGAAGGAGAAGCAGGCAGTCCTGTTCAGAGTGTTGTAAATTAGTTCCAGTCTCCAGGAGGCTGCTGTAACTAACTGTTATGACCTGGAAGTGGATAAAGTCCGTAACAGTAAGATCAACTTTTCCTCTAGTAATTTGACAAATAGAACCTTTTTTTTTTTTTTTAAAGTCCTATGTAGGCTACATACCCCATTTGTTATTTTGTGATGGTCATCGTTTCCGCATTGAAGTGATAATGATTTTCTGTATTTCTGCTGATTTGTACAGCAGGTGCCTTTATTAATGCCAGAAGAAGGTAAGAGATTCAACAGCAACAACAAAAGAAGGGTTCCTGGCAGCAGCCATATATCGAAGTTGTTCCTTATCCAGTTAGGTTTCTGTGTTTGGCCATTGCTTAAAAACTTGCTATCCCTATACAAAATGTATACTTCTGACAACCTCTCTGCAGAGATAATTCTATTTGTTAAGATAGCAGAAGTATCAATGTATATGAGTGGTAATTATTACATTTAACAATGGCATTGCTTTTTCATCCAAATATTTAGAAAATACACTGTACAGCAAAGGTTAATACTTACCAAACCCCAGGTTGCCTTGTGTATACTGTATTTAAAGCAGCAAATACAGAATCCTGGGTTCTCTTTCAAACATAATGCTTTTGGTAAAGTTTTACCATTTGACTTAGCCTGTGGTTAGAGTATTAATTAGGTCAGGTATTCCCAAGCTCTTTGTAAAAATTTATGGTGACGTTTGGGAAATCTGGGTATTTTCTCAGGATACTATTTACAGAACCACACAAGTACTCCTCCTCTTGCTCTATAAAAGGCGTGCGGGCAGACTGGTGCTTTGCAGAGTCACTGGATTTCATTTATTCTCTACAACCACATGGAAATCAGGAAGTCTTGGTGTTTGTCTGGGCTCGCAGAGTAAGTTGCTGAAATGGGACCTGTGCAATGGTAGCTATTAGAAACTCTGCATTTCACTGCCTAGTTAATTTTATAAGAATAATGTTAGGCAGTCACTGTAAGTAAATTCATGCCGCTTTCTGTACAGGCAGTGATCTGTGGAGTTTCTTTGTGCGTCCCTGCTCCAGCCCGTTCCAAGCCTGCATCCCACCCATCCTCCCATCCCCACAACTGATAAGTCTGTCGGGCTCCGCAGTAGTCTCACCGTGAATATAAACTCACCAACACTGACTCAAGAGAGTCCAGTCTCCTATTTATTTGGGCTCTAGCGGGATGGGAACCTTGGTCTTCAAGGGTGAAAGGTTGAGGTGTGTGTCTTGTTTACCTGTGCTTTTCAGATAGCGTTTTCCTTTAATCTATTAAGCAGACGCACCATTTTGTCCCATGGCGTAAAATGGGATCACTAACATGCTTAATTACTACCAAACCACCTATGAGTGACTGATGCCAGCAGACAAGAAGAATCAAAGCCCAGTTTGTCAGCCAGGAGGAATTCTGCAAGGCTTCCCCCACCTCCCGTGTTTAATAGAAACATCTTTTAACAAGAGCACTGCAATGTGTGCCTGATTTATACACAGCTTCAGTGATGGGATAAAGTCATATTGGATGGCTTTCGTATGAACCCTGACTACTGGCTAAGGGGAAACTAGGTGTTTTTGCAAGTAGGAATGAGGAGATCCCAAACTATCCATGGATTTGAAAATCCAAATCTGATTCTTTTGAAAATTATCAAAAAAAACCCCAAACCCCTATAGGTGCACAGAGTTAATTTAACAATTGTAGCCTCTGCTGCCTTTCAACACTTCTGAGGCTTTTCTCTTTGCCGAAGCTATTACATTTAGACATTTGCATGTCATTGCATACCAAATAAGACATTTGGACTTAATTTTTGGCACTGCTGCAGAACTGTTGTATACATTAATCAGCCAAGGTATACTGCTCAGTACATGCTATGCTGGGGCTGGTTCACAGACACAATAGGATGGAGAAGATACAGCAACACAGCTGCTAAACATATTTACCATCGAATAGTTAGTCACACTTCTGGAGTTTTAATTGAATTACCTTTGACAGTGAACAGCAAACCTGGTGGGTGATCTACTAAATTTAACTGACGAATGGGCTCCCTAAAATCAATTAGCATCTAGGGCTGTGAGCATGAACACATCCTGTCGCTCTGCAGGGACCAGAGCGGGATCAGAATGACAGCAGCAAATGTGAGACAAAGTGAAAGCATGCATCTCCTGCCGCTGCTGACCTCTGCTACCCACATGAAAGAAAAACAGGAGTCTAACAGGAGCTGAAAGAATCCGACAGTAAATCATTTAAGCTCTGTTTTGCAGAACTGATACAGGATGCTTCTAAGCTGCTTGATTAATGCTGGGCAGTATATTAAAAGTAAGATGTGGCAGGGCAAGAAGGCTACTGCCAAGTGCCAGCTCTGCATCAGTGCACCAAGCTGTAAGAAATACCATCTATTTGCTTTATTATTTTTCAGATATTCAAGGCAGTGGGTATCCAAGAGGAATTAACTATTTTCTGTTCTTTTGCTGTAGTGATAAGGTCCTGTCTGTAGCCACAGAGAAGCCCTCAGTCTTTTGGATGGTTGGTTGTTATCTGAGTAATCAACTGATGGCAAAATGCAGGCTGGAGGTTCCTCTGACCTTTGCCTCTTTGCAACCCGACTCCGTGCACTGTTCAGCTAGAGCATGTAATGAGGTACAGATGCGACAGATAGGATAATTGAATACACACAAATATTTGAGGGACTTTCAGGTTTTGACAGACTGGTGAAGGCAGAAAACTCTTGATTGGGGCTGCTGTCTTTGGGTTTGGGGGTGGGTGAGAAGAGGGAAGAGGAGCAAACCGAGTTAGCCTGCCTTCCTTTCACCCTGTTTTGCCAGACAACCAGATAAGCACTTCCTCAGGAGTAAATCTATGTAAATGCTTGGTTTATTTGGCTTGAATATTGACTTAAGTGAAGACTCAGTTTGGACTGTACCACATGTG